AAAGGGCCAGTGAGTCGGTGGTCAACGGCAAGAGGAGTGGGCTGTGTGGTGGAGAACTGAAACCCGAACCGTCGAAGGACCTGCTGCACCATGTGGGACTGAGTCAGTGTGATGGTGCGAGCGGCTCTGTCCCTGGTGATTTGCATGCCAAGGTAGCTATGCAGTTCACCAAGGTCAGTGCACTTGTGTCTCTTCTGTAGTTCGGATTTCACCTCAGCCAGAGTTGCTCTGTCTGCTGTAGCGTCACGTATAAAGAAAGTCGTCAACGTACACTAGTATAAAGAAAGGAGTGGAACCAGTGCGAACAAACAGCGACGGGTCGGCAGAGGAAGGACGAAACCCAAGGTCACGAAGCGTGGAGCGAAGAGTGTCGTGCCACTCACGGGGCAACTGGCGGAGACCATAGACTGGCCGCCTCAGGCTCCACTGGGTCCCAGGTGGGAAGGTGTCAGTGAAGCGAGGAGGACGGCGCAGCTAGATCTCCTCGTGTAGACGGCCCTGAAGAAACGCAGTAGAGAAGTCAAGGAAGTGCAGCTCGTAGTCTCGCTATGCTGCTACGTGCAGTAACACCCGAAAAGTAGTCATCTTCGGGGTCGGGGCGAAGGTGTGGAAGAAGTCAACTCCATCACGCTGACTGAAACCCCTAGCCGCGTAGCGCGCCTTGAACACAGACGGTGAACCAGGCGGCCGCTTCACCTTGAACAGCCACATGCCATCGGCAATGTTCGCCATGGGAGGGGGAACTGCGTCGATGTACGTGCCTGTGGATCTCCAGGACGCTAGCTCTACATCCATGGCTGCTTTCCACTGAGAGGCACACTCCCCTGACATTGCCTCACGGTACGTACGAGGTGTCGGTATGTCAAGGGCGTCGGGGTCTCCCTCAAGGGAAAGCAGCATGGCGCAGAGAGAGGGGGAAGCGGCGGCTAAGAACTCCCGCTCAAATTGCCTGTCCTTTAGGACGTCACAGCCAAGGGCAGACTCACCCCTGATGGACAAAGGACGGGGACGTGGAGCAGCCACTACACGCATGGCGTAGTCAAGACGGCGGGTGGAATCAAAGTCAGCAACAGCGGCAGTAAGAGCCGAGACAGACGACGGAGAGGCACGAGGGTTGGTGACGAGATGCGAGAGCACGAGAGACAACAGGGCGAGCAGCATGGTAGTAGTCAGTGATAGGGTGAGAGGAAACGGTGAGAGACGACTCAGGAGGTGAGGGGAGAACAGACACACGCGGAGAACGACGAGGAGGAGAATGAAACTAGACGATGCGGAGGTCGGCAAGAGGTGACGAGGGCTGAGCACGTGGAGGACAATGACTGGTCCAGTCGTTCTGGACAACAGGAGGAGGCGACTGTGACTGAGGAGGAGAGAAAACATAGGGATTCGAGTCCGGAGGAGGAAACGTAGGACCATACGCGGTAGGAGACTATGAGGGAAAAGGAGGAGAGGAAGGAAGACCAAGGGCCCGAAGGCCACTCACTGGAGGGAACAGCTGCTACTGCTACTACTGCTGCTACTGCTTCTGCTGGTCCAACCACTGCAACTCCTGCCTCTCCCGCGCCAACTGCTCCTGCTCCTCGTGCTCAAGCCGGCGAAGGGCCTGGAAACGGGTGTCGTGGCGGTGGGGAGGCGCAGTGGGCGATGCAGTAGGCGAGCCTCCAGCTCCTGTCTCCTCAGTACCAGCTCGTACAGTGCCAGTACCTCCTGCTCCAGCACCCCCAGAACTAGCACCGCCAGTGCCAGCACCTCCAGCTCCAGCACCCCTAGAACTAGTACCTCCAGTGCCAGTACCTCCAGCACCAGCACCCCTAGAACTAGCACCTACAGTGCCAGCACCTCCAGCTCCAGCACCCCCTGAACTAGCACCTCCAGTGCCAGAACCTCCAGCTCCAACACCCCCAGAGCTAGCGCCACCTGTGCCAGCACCTCCAGCTCCAGCACCCCTCGAACGAGCACCCTCGGACCGAGTACCGCCAGTGGCTGCACCTCCAGCTCCAACACCAACCGAGTCCACAGTAACCTGTCGCGGAAGTGCCGAAGGCTGCTGAGGAGACTGTGAGGTGGAGTCTGGGGAGGGATACGCTACCTGGCGCGCTACCGAGGGTAGAGGGGTGGCGTGAGACACAGCTGACAGGGCATGATCAGGGGGGTGTGGGGCACCGGAGGAGCGGGAGAAGGGGGAAGAGAGGGTGCGAGAAAGAGGGGGGGAGGGAGACCCGGGAGACTGCGACAGGGGTACCGGGTGTAGTAAGACACCGACTCGTCAAACTAGACGTCACGAGAGTCCAGGAAAGTGGTGAAGGGGCGGGTGGTAGAAGGAATAGTCGGGAGAGCCAACCGGGAAACCAAGGAAGACACATGGTATGTCGCGGGCCGAGAGCTTGTCCGCAGAGGTGTCGTGGACAAGCGCAAGGCAGCCCCAGACACAAAAGACCGACCCAACACCAGGGGACCCTGTCCAAACACTGGTCGGTGAAACCTCTGGCTGCGAGACACGCGGCTGGAGGTTCAGCTGGTGCGTGGCGTAGCGAAGCCCGTAGGGCCAAAGAAAATGGGGCGCACGGGCATGGATCATGGATGTGCGGGCGATGTCCATAACCAAGCCAATGCGGCGCTCAGCAGACCCATTCTGCTGTGGGGACTCAGGCAGCGTCCAGGACTGTCTGATGCCCTGCTCGCCGCAGAACCCGGCAAGGACGCCGGTGCGAAACTCACCCCCACGGCGTGGAGACAACGGAAACAAATACCACGAGTGCCCTCAGTGGCCAGAAGCCACTGGATCAGCGTAGAAGTCACCTCGGACTTTTTCGCGAGAGGAAACACCGTGGTGTAACTGGAGTAGTCGTCAACAACCACTAACTAGTAGCGCCCCCTCTCTGGTCCCAGCGTAGGGGCAGGGCCCCAAACGTCCAGGTGGAGAGCTTAGAAGGGAGCAGTGGCCGGACGAAGGGAGGAGGAGTGCGGGGTGGCGTGCAGGCGGCCGGCAACGCAAGGAGTGCAAGGTGGAGCAAGCGAGGGAGGGAGCGACGGAAATACGCGCGGGAGACCTCACACGAGACTGTGACTGGCCATGCTGCGGAGGCGGGGGAGCGACGGGTGGTCAAGGCGGTGGTACCACAAGGTGGTGGCCAAGGGGATGTAGAGACCAGTGAGGAAACTAGAGGGGACAGCTGGGCACGGGAGAGTGGTTGAGCTGTGAGCAACTGCTGGTCCTGAAGTATGATCAGCCAGGGCAACTGGGACTGGAGCCGAAAGAGGTGTGTGTGACATTGGTGTGGTCACGGAAGAAGCACTGAGACGCACCGGAGTTCAGCGTGAAGGAGAGCAACGCAACAGCATTCGTCACGGCTAGGCGAGTGACTACACAAGCACCTACACGAAAAGCACACTGCTGAGGGCGCCACTGCTGCTGAAGGCGCCACTGCAGCTCTGTCCGCCACTTCTGAAACGGTCGCTGCTGCTGTCCCTGCTGCTGGAGAACCCTAGTGGACTCCATGATAAAGACTAGTGTTGTGCAGGAGTGGCATGCTAGGAACGACAGGAGCTAGGGACGGCTGTAGTGAAAAACGAGAACAACTAGGAGCGCCAGGTTAAACTCGGCAAGTAACTGATGGAGCACGGAGCGAACTGAGCTAGGGGCGCCAGGTGAAACTAGGCGAGGAACGGCTGAAGCACGGAGCAATCTGAGCTAGGAGCGCCAGGTGAAACTAGGCGAGGAACGGCTGGGGCCCGAAGCAAACTGAGCTAGGAGCGTCAGGTGAAACAAGGCGAGGAACGGCCGGAGCACGGAGCAAACTGAGCGAGGTGCGAGAACGGCTGGAGCTGAAACGACTGGAGCGAGAACGGCTGGAGCTGAAACGGCTGGAGCGAGAATGGCTGGAGCTAGAACGGTTGGAGCACAACTGGCCGGAGCTAGAAACGGCGAGCTAGGGCCGGCTGGAGGTAGGAACGGCCGGAGCTAGAGACCGTAAGTGCGGCTGTCAGCTGCCGCTGGTAGAGCCACTGGCAGTGGAAAGTACGTGCGGCAGTAGGGGCTGCAGTACTGACGGCTGCGAGATGTAGGCAACTGTGCAGGTCGTCCGGCAAGCAGGAACGCGTGCGACAATTGCAGCCCCCCACCCTAAACCCCTTTTTTTTAGGGTTTAAATCATTTATTTATTTTCTGGCGCTAAAGCGCTCCGGGGCGCGCTGCCTGCAGGGTGTGCTACCTGCGGGGCGCGCTACCTGCGGGGCACGATACCAGCGGGGCGTACTACCTGCGGACGCGCTATCTGCGGGGCGCGATACCTGCGGGGCGCGATACCTGCGGGGCGCATAGCCTATGGGGCGCACTGCCTGCGGGGCGCGCTGGCTAAGGTAGTGCGTGGCCACCTAAGGCAATGCGCGTCAGCCTAAGGCAGAGTGATGGGCGGCCAAGGGCAGAGCGGGAGGCAGCCTAAGGCAGAGAACGGGGCAGGGCAGAGAACGGGCATACGTTTCTTTGCCGGATGGCGCACGGTACGTAGGCTAGGAGATAACGGAGCGACTACGGAGCGGTACTATGATAGGCTAGGCTAGGCTAGGCAATGGAGCACGGGCGGGCTAGGCTAGGCTAGGAGCGTACCTACGCTCTGATACCATCTTAAGAGTGATGCGTAGCGGAATCGTGAGACTAGGAAAGCAAGGCAGTTGTACTCACTAAGGAGCACCTCACTACAACCTATAACAGATAATAACATTTGACAACAGGGTACAACTCAGTTCAGCATTTGACAACTCTGACTTTTGAGGGACTTGAATTGTTTTCAACAGAAAAAGAGGGTATAAACTGAATCAGACACAAAAATTTCATCTACCATAATCAAACTAACTCAATGCTTATGCCAGACCCTTCTCTATTAACATACATGGTGTCTGCCAGAGTAACCAGAGCCAGAACTAACGCCATGTCCACATTCGGAAAGATTCGCACGAAGTATGTTTGGGCCCCGAAGACAAGGTCACGAGCAGTGCACATGTCACGGTTCACTTCGGCCAATAGCATGTTGTTGCAGGTGACGATCTGTCATAAGGATGGGGGGGGTGGGAGGGGGGGGGGGAGGGGTGGGGGGGTTGAAAGTGGATACAGCAAGCATGGAATAAGAAACGTATACAAACAGATGCAGCAGTTCAATCTGTCACACTCGAAAATGGGAAAAAGAGATGTCCCAGGGGGGGGTGTCTGGGAAAAAGGTGAGAAGTTGAGAGAATACTAGTACCTTGAAGTTATGCTGGAAAATGGAGCCAGTGAGGTAAATGTCTGGGTTTTTTGTTACATTACCCCGTAAAAACACCTACAAGGAGGGAGAGGAAAGACGCAAGAGGTTGAATAAGGTTGATGAGAAAAACTTTAGGTGGAGAATAGACTGGTCAGGAGGCACCGAAGAAATGGAGAATGGAGAGACGGAGTGATAGGAAGAGAGTAGGAAAGAGAAGGTAACAAATAAAACTGGGAAAGAGAAAATGGCAGATCAATATTTGGGACCTTGAAGGAGCAAGCGCACCTCAATAACGGGTTGAAAGGTGATGTAAGGTCTCCTTGCTCTAAGCAAGTGACCGTCGGTTTCTGTGCTGCTCCCCGGGCAGAGGTAGGTGGTGTTGTGCAGAGTTAACACCTTGCCTACTAGCATGCACACGGGTGCTCCTGTGGCGTCCAGAATTTCCGTCTTGTTGGGAATGGATAGCAGTCTGGTTCGGGACAATCCAATCGGTGAAGATGGGAAAAGGTAAAAGAGTAGTCTAGTAAATACTGATATCCAACAGTGGCAGAGGCAAGGCAAATTCAGGAAAGGGAAAAAGCTTCACGCAAAAAGCCTGACGGAAAGACCTGTTTACAACTACATTAAGGACTCCTTAATCAAAGAGGGTTCCGTGAAATATCGATAAATTGAGGCCTCACCTGTTTGCGACTTTGAAGTGCAGATTCCCGTTTGTATCTTTGACCTTCTTCGCTTCGCTTAACGAGAACATCTTCTCCTTCATTACAAGCACAGTCTCGTACGGCAGGCAATACTGCGACCCCACGACCGCATACGGTTGTGACGGAACTTGGGCTTGAGGCGCAACATAAGGAGGCGGAGGAGCAGCACCGTGAGCCGGCTGCTGGTGATAAGACGCTCCCGCTTGAGGCGCCGTGGGATAATGGCCGGGATAAGCGCCGTAGTGCATGCTCGCCATAGTTGCAAACGCACCCGTTCAAAACGATTCGAGCGAGACGTTTAGGCTTGTTGTAGGATGCTCGGCGCTCAGAATGCTCAGTGGTAAATAATATCAGTGGAACAGGAACTTACGAAATGTATGCGGTAAAAGGCCTAATATAATTGTGAAGCCTGTAGTGTTAGCGATTTGAGCCAGCAAAGTATCACTGTTTGATGCCGATGAAATAGCCATACCCAGATACTTTATACGATCAAGAAGAAAAATCGGCGTGGGAGACGGCGTATGCAGCAATCGTGAGCTAAATTCCCGCAGCGCGGTCCGATCCATGGATTAGTGTGCTGGTGAGTGGGTGCTGTTGTGTGCCGTGCAGAGCAGAGTTGGGCTGAATCTGCGAGATCAATCGTGGATGAGAAATGCGGAGGGGAGGAAGCAGGAAGCAGGTGAGCCGTGTGAGGAAAGGTTGCTCAAAGCCAGGGTCTCAAGTAGTACGAGTGCTTTGCAGTTGGTGGTAGGAGGTCGACTGGGATTGGTTGGCGAGGTCCAAGTTTAGGGGAGGGGTGAAGCGAGGGTTGCGAAGTGGACACAAATCGTTGATTTGTTTCCGAACCATTTAGCCACGGAAGTTGGTGTGGGCCGAAGCTGAAATGCTAGCAACTTCCCGAAAGCCCCGAAAGTCCCAAGTAAAAAGCCGAATATGTTTTGCTTATTCTTGTGGGGGCAAAAACAGGGGTGTGTCGCACACCACTTCCCAGGCCAACCAGTCAGCTCGCCTGCTACAAACAGAGTAACGGAGCTCCAACTGCTTTGCAGTTGACGCCAGAATCTCTTACTTGAGACCCTGGCTGTGAACCAAGCCGTGTGAGGAAAGGTTGCTCAAGTGAACCAAGTCGTGTGAGGAAAGGTTGCTCAAGTTCTGGCTCATAGGGATTGTCATTGACGGCTTGTCCGAACCTAAGAAAGACTCTTCTACTGACCCCTCTCCTCCTCTCCCTCTCCCTCTCCCTCTCCCTCCCCTCCCTCTTTGTCCTCCTCGATCGTCTCTCTCGCTCGTTTCTGTTCCTCTCCCTCCACTCCTGTCTCCTTGCTCCTTCTTGTCTTTCTCCTCCTCTTCTCTCGCCCGCTTCAATCCTCCCATCCCACTTGTACCTTCCTCCACTGCCCCATTCGCCTCCCCATTCAAATGCCCCTGCTCCCGACCCTGACATTCCGAACCTACGCCTGCATGCCCTTCCGAACCTAACCCACCAACTATTTCCATCTCGCCGGACCTAGCAGGCCCCATCCACTCGCCCCACGTGCCGTTGCTCATGCCCGGGGAACTGCTTCCGATCCAAAATGCAGCACCAAGTGCACCACTCCCTACCACACCAGGAATACCAGCACCACTCCCTGCCACACCAGGCACACCAGCACCACAGTCCCCTGCAGCACCAGGCACAACCACACAATCCCCTGCAGCACTACCCATTGCCCCAGCTACATTCGCACAGCTGCCTACAACCACACCTTCCCCTTCCCGTACCCTACGGTCCCCCGTGCCTGCGTCGCTCCCAAACGCTGCAGCTGGACCTGCTCTGCTCTTATCCCCCACTTCAGCAGACACTGGGGGTGGTGCAGCTTGGCGGCTGCACCAGCAGCAGTGGGAGCTGCAGAAGGATAACTTAAACCCGACACTTGACATCCCCCTCCTGGCACTCCATGCCCCTCTCTATTCCCCCCTCTATCTGGCCCTCTTTCTCCCTCCCTTTCTCCTTCCCGTCCTTCCTCCTGCCCTTCCTCCTGCCCTTCCATCGTACCCTGCCGCCCCACACACTCCTGCCCATCGCCACCCTGTTCGCCTGACAGGGCAAGCATCAGAAGATCCAACGGTGACGAATCCTTCGCCTCGCTGCCGCTGCCATTTCCGCTGCTGCCGCCACTGTTGCTCTCCTTGTGTTGCTCTTTTTGCAACCGTTGCTGTAGTTCCCCCTGTTGCTCCTCTTGTCCCACATGCCCCACTCGATCACCCACCTCCTCTGCCTGCAGTTGCGTTTCTTGAATCGCCTCCTCTGATTCCCCTCCACTCTGCTCCCCTCCATTTCCCCCCATTTCCCCCATTGCCCCCATCCCCCGCATTGCCCCCATCTCGCCTATCCCCCTTTCTCCCTCCCCATCCATCTGCCCCATGCCCCTCTCTCCCCTCTCCCCCTCCCCCAACCCCATCCCCCCTTCTAGCCCCATACCCCCCTCTTCCCCGTCTCGCCCCATACCACCCTCTCCCCCCTGCCCATCCCCCAAATCTACTGGCTGAGTTGCCTCAAAGCACACTACATGGTCTTGAGACGGGGGCATCAAAGGAAGTGAGGAGGGTAAATGCTCGATAGGGGGAAGCTCCTGGCTAAGAAAAATGGGAGTGGACGGCAGAGGTAGCTCCTGACTCATAGGGATCGACCACGGATCCTTAAGCGAGTCTCTTAGCGGCTCTTTCAGCGAGTCTTTTAGCGCACCGCTTACAGCAGCAGCAGTGATTGTACCACCAGCACCAGAAGCAGTGACTGTGCAACCAGCACCAGGAGCGGTGCTTGCAGCACCAGCCACAGCAGCAGGGCCGCCCCTTGAACCACCACCCCCGGCAGAAGCAGGGGGGGAAAATCTTCTAGGGGCCGGCTTCCAAAGGCATTTACTTTCCACCCCTGTACCCTCCACCTCTCCCCCTCTCCTACTCCCATCACTTCTCCCTGCAATGGTGTGTGTGTCCCCACCACTACCCACACCAGTACAGGCTACCCCAGGTGTACCTCCCTCTGCACATCCCCCCTCCATGTTCCCTGAGCTGGCAGCACTAGCTCCCACGTCAGCAGACGAGGGCACTCGGGGCGTTGCAGGTACTGCTACAACCGCTGCATCAGCTGTAGTTGCATCAGGTAGAGCCACACCAGCAGCTACATTTCCTCCTGCGACAGTCCCTTCTGCTGCAGTATCTTCTGCTACAGCTCCACACTCGGCTTTCTTGGGAGAGCCATCAGTGTGATCATCTGTAGGCGTAGAGAGAAATCGAAAAGGGAAATCATCTGGGGTACCTTGGGAAAACAGGGCGCCTTGGGAAAAGAGGGCGTTCTGGGAGAGAACAGGCAACCCCTCCATCCCATCCTACAGGAAACCATGCCCTTTGTGGCCCTCGTCCCTCCCCTCTCCCTGCTGCTCTTGTGGCTCTGTCACTGCTGCTGCAGCTGCAGCTTCAACTGATGCTTGCTGCTGCAGTTGGTTTTCGTGCTGTTGTTGATGAAAACGCTGCTCCTGCTGGTAATTCTCCTGCCACTGTTGCTGCTGCTGCTGCTGCTGCTGGTGATTCTCCCAATGCAGCTGTTGCTGGCGCTGGCCTTCCCCCTCCTGAAGCCCCACTCTATGCCTCTGAGTTGCTTCCTCCAGAGTCATTGCCTCGCTGCCTGTCTCCCACTTCCCTGCTGCCCCATTCTCCTTCTGAGACCCCATGACGTGCAACCCCATCCCATGCACCTGCCCTGCATCCACCTCCCCCAAATTTCCCCCAAACTCCCTTTCCCCAGGCTCGTTCAGCATACCGTTCTCCCTGTATCTCCCTGCCTGTTGCGGCTGCTGCGCCTGCTGTTACGGTTGCTGCAACAGTGGCGGCGGCTGCTGCTGTGGCTGCTGGTGCTGCAGGTAATCCCCTGTCTCATTAGCCTGCTGGTACCCTCCCCCCTGCTGCCGCTGCTGCTTCTGAGCCAGGTATTGCCTTAGAGCAGTGGCAGGCAGGCTGGCAGCAGCAGCGGGTCGCATGGCAAAGGGAGTTGCTTGTATCGATGCCTGTGGCGGGAGAGAAAGAGGCTGGTGGGGGAAAAGGAGAGAGGAGCAAGAAAGAGGGCGACATTAAAAGACGAGTGAGAACAAGTTCGTGTGCGTGTGTGTGCATGTGTGTGTGTGTGCGTGTATGTACGTGTGGGTGTGTGTGCGTGTGTGTGCGTGTGGGTGTGTGTGTGTGTGTGCATGTGCGTGTGGGTGTGTGTGCGTATGTGTGTGCGTGCGTGTGTGTGTGTGTGCGTGTGCGTGCGCGTGCGTGTGCGTGCGTGTAAGTGCGTGTAAGTGCATGTATGTGTGTGTATGTGTGTGTGTGTGTGTGTGTGTGTGTGTGTGTGTGTGTGTGTGTGTTTTACCAACGCTCACCTCAATGTGGGTATGAGCCGATATCCGAGGCACTGTCTCCCAGCGACTGCTCATACGCCCTCAAGTCGCTCACTCCTGCACTGCCCACTAACTCTGCAGCTGTAGCAGCTGTAGTGAATGTAGCAGCTGTAGCAGGTTCAGTTCTAGGGGTAGTTGTAGCGGCATGGTTACCTTGCTGTTGCTACTGCTGCTGGTCTTGCTGTTGCTGCTGCAGTTGGCACGGGACTAGCCGCCCTGCTTCTCCACCCCAGCCAGGCGGTTTCAACGCCACAAGACCCGAGGCAGAGTGCGTGGAGGGGGGAGTGATGGGAACTGGCATGGCAGTGCTGCTTGGAGTGACAGGCTCAGTAGCACCGCCACCACCAGTAGCAACAGCAGCAGCAGTGTCAAGGGGTTTGAAACCGCTAAGCCCCACCCGTCTCTGGGTGTTAGGGGGAGGGGAGAGGAACCTCGAGTAGTCGTCAACGACCACTAGAAAGTAGCACTCCCTCTCAGGTCCCAGCGTAGGGGCAGGGCCCCAGACGTCCAGGTGGAGAGTCTGGAAGGGAGCAGTGGCTGGACGAAGGGAGGAGGAGTGCGGAGTGGCGAGCATGCGGCCGGCGACGCAAGGAGTGCAAGGTGGAGCAAGCGAGGGAGGGAGCGACAGAAAGACGCGCGGGAGACCTGAGACAAGACTGCGACTGGCCATGCTGCGGAGGCGGGGGAGCAACGGGTGACCAAGGCGGTGGTGTCACAAGACGGTCGGGTGGGCTAGGGACCGACAGGAGCAAGACGCAACAACTAGACCGGACTCCGCAACTTGACCGGACACAGCAACCTGTGGGGACACAGTAACCTGACCGGACTCTGCTACCGAGGGGGACAAAGCAACCTAACCCGAAGCAGCTATCTGCAGGGGCGGAGTGTGCAGGATGAAGAGACCTGAGTGGGGCTCTCTGATGAACGTGGCAAGAACTGCCCCGGTGGAAGAGTCCGTACAGATCGCAGTCCTCCCGTGCGCAGGAAAAGAGATTGTGATCCCCGGTCCTGAAGGTATCCAACACCCACCAAGTTCCGAGAGAACGAGGGGAAGTAGAGACCAGTGAGGAAACTAGAGGGGACAACTGGGCATGGGAGAGTGGTCGAGCTGGGAGCAACTGCTGGTCCTGAAGTATGATCAGCCAGGGCAACTAGGACTGGAGCCGAAAGAGGTGTGTGTGACAGTGGTGTGGTCGTGGAAGAAACTCGCACTAACTCCCGGAACAAACTACTCTCATCCCGTATCCCCCTGCCTGCTCCTGCCCTTGAGTAACCTTGGCACTCCCATCCCGTGATCACTATGTCAATCCTCCCCCACCACCGGACGGTGTTCTCGTCTACTCGTCGTATGTCACACTCCCCACACATTGCACTCTCGTCCATCGCCACCGTGTAAAACTGATTGGGATACCGCTTCTGCAGCTTCTCTGCATGGCACCACGCCATCTTCACCGCTTCCATACCGCTTTCCACCAGTATCCACTTCTCCATGTGTGCACCCGACTTGAGTACCGCCACTAATCCGGTGCCTATGCCCCCGAAGAGCTCCAGCACCACCGTGGGTCCCAGCAGCCTCTTTGTGTTCGTTCACAGCGACTTCAAATCAATCTCCTCCTTGCTCTCACTCCCTGCTGGAGCCGGCAGACGCGCAATCTGCTGCCAGGTGATTACCCCCAACTCCTCTTGAATCTCTGCCTCAGTGCACTGGTAAGCCTCCCTGGGTTCCCTCCTCACGAATCGCACCGGCAGCGTCCCAATCGGCCCCTGCTTCTCTCAGTAGCGCACGCGGTACTGCACCTTCTCCTCCCACATTCTTATCATGGAGCCCACTCCGAAGAGGAATTCTACTCCTATAAGGAAATCGAAATCCTCATATTCCAACACCCCGCAGTCGACCCTCAGTACGCATTCTTCCCGCGTCCGCTGTCATCAGCAGGTAGCCCTCGGTGATCAGACGCCCTAGTTTATGTAGTTGCAGCTTCTCTACCAAGCGCTTTCCGATGAGCACGTGCGCCGCCCCCGTGTCCACAATCGCCCGTTGCGCCTTGAATCCCCCGACCGTAATCACCCCTGGCTCAATGGTCAGGACCGTCGCCTGGCAGATAATCCACTCCCGTGTATGCCGATAAGACGCTCCCTCCTCTTCATCACTTTTGCTCACCTAGCTTCTCGGACCATCTTCGCGCCGCTCATCTTCCCGGAATAATTGCCTTCGCGCACCACTCCGCAGCCCTAGCTCTTCTCGATCTCTTGCCGGCTGCACCATCAGCATAAACTCAGGCTCATACGCATCATCCTCTTCCTGCGCTACCATGGCGGGTTTTTTCTCTTCTGCTGCCTCCAACTCCGCCAGCTGCGCTCTCAGCCGTGCCATGGTGGCCTGACAATCCTCTCCCCCTCTCGTTCCTCTCCGCTCCCTGCGTGGGGTGTAGCAATCAGCTTCTCGATGCCCTCGCCGCCCACATCGGCTGCACACCGGCGCCTCCGCACATTCTTGTCACATGTGCTCGCGACTCCCACACAGCAGACACGCCGCCGGGTTATGACACTCCCTCCGCAAATGCCCCGGGAGCCCGCAATTGTGGCACCTCCACACCTCTCCTCTTGCCCTGTCTTCTGTTTCCTGATGCGCCGCTGCTGCTGGCCGGTCGCCTCCGCTCTGGTCCCCGTTCCACCGAATCGATCCATCTCGTACAGCCTGCGGCCGGTCTCTACACGATTCACGATTTCGTATGCCTCCTTAAGAGTTGCCTCTGGCCCCAGCTCGAACACGCGCACCTGCACGTCCTGCTGCAGGGAAAGGCTCAAGCCATCCACGAACTTTCCGATAAGATGCCCTTGATCTTGGCAGTTCATGTCTTCCCCCAATTCCACCAAACGCCCGTAATACGCCAGTAGGGATTCTCCTTCCTGATGTTTGAAGCCGCAGAATTCCAGCACCCGCTCCGCCGTCTGCAGCGGAAACTGCTCGTGCAGCATCGCCAGGATTCTGGTCGTGGGATCGTGTTCGCCCGGTGCACGCCCAGCCGCCCACTGCAGCAGCTCGTTTCGCGAAATCCGATAATACGTCTCTGCTTCTCCCGCCAGTATATTCTCCAGTCCTCTAAAGAACTCTTCCGGATCCAGTCGATCCTTAGCCCATCGCGCCTGTAGTTTTTCTAGCTACATGATATATTTCTTCAGACTTGGCCTGTGCCTCATGTCGCCTGAGAATCTTTCAGGCACCTCGATCTTCGGCAGCTGCGTGTACCTCCACCGCTGCATCGACGCTTCATCCTCCGTGCCCTGCCAGGAAACGCTTCGCTGATATCCGCTCGGCCCCCCTTGCTGTGACCTCGGCTGAGAGCCTGTCTTCGTCCCTCCTTCCGTAGCTCCAGGAGCGTTTTCACCGCCACCGGTCCCCTCCCCGCGAGCGTCCCCTTGCGGGCCTATCGCTCCTGTCAAACTATAATTCTATAGTTTGTGTAGTTCTAGTCTAGGTGTTCTCCCTTGTGTTATTTTGTACTTGCACTAGGGTTAGGTATTGCATATATCTTGTTGGTAATTTCTTTTTTAGTCAATTTTTACATTGTGACATGGTATAGAGCTGGGTTAACCCTAGCGAGATTTTCCCCCTTAGGAAAAATCACTCGACTATCATGGGCCCACCTAGTCGCGCCTCGTCCTAGACCGCTCGTATCGCGCTTACCTTAGGCACCGTCGCCAGTCGCCCGTCGCCCGTTTCCCCGATCGCAGCCGTTTTCTCTTTTTTTTCCCGTCACCCGTCACCCATCGTGGCTGTTAGTTAACGGGCCCTGCGGACTTTCGTTAGCGGGCCCTGCGACCTTTCGT